AAAGCTACTTAGACAGGTGGAGAGTGTAAGTCACCAGGGAATCTTCCTGGGAAATACAAATACCCTTGCATGAGAAACAAGAGAGCAGGGCTGACATGTAAAATATGTTAGTCACCATCCTGCTTCCACAGATCTCTATTATTCTAGTTTTTAAGGACTTGGATAAACCTCAAAGACACTAAGCAAACTGAGAACAGTTCTTAGAGTAAACACTGAGCTCAGAGATTAGAAAAATCAGTCTTGACAGTTGCTGTGCTTCTCACACTCTCCAAGATGCCATGTTATCTGTTCTCCCTCCCACCCCCCAGGCTTTAAACCTGCTTCAGCACTGTTATAATGGGTTGCATTATATCAGAACAAGCAATACATGAAGATTTCAGTCTTTTGGCTTTTTTTTCTTTATCTTTCGTTAATAAGCATCTCCTCATTGCTTGGAAATGTCATTCTAGCCAAAGATCTTCTATAATTAAAGAGCAAAACTGTCCAACTAATTAGAAGTTTTCTCTTGCCCTGAGCATAGCTCTGGGCATAGAAACAGGGAGTTTAAGGCAAACTGCACAGCAGTAGGAATAATTGAATTATTTAAAATGAATATCTACTTTCTAAATGTGTTCAGTGGGAAAAAAATACGCAGCAAGGTCAGGAACAATGGAAAAACGATAGGGGATTTTCCTTGGGAAAGTAATCAAAGCAAAAGTTACAAAAATCCTCTCTTAAATTGCATTGAAACAGCAGGATTTTGCGAAAGCCACTGACTGTCAGGCCCCTAGGGCTTCTGGCCTTGATTATGCAATTGCTGCACAGGCAGGACTGGCTGCCAGCAGTAGCTTTCCCATGAATTTCTTAAAGAAAATATTACAATAAGATGCACGTTTAGGTGCTTTTCATTTAGAAGATATTGCCTGTGATAGAAATCCTTGGGTTTGTTCTCACTTTCTGATGATGAAGGGAGAGAAAATACTTGTCTAATTAGGTACATCTCATCCCAGATTCCCTGTTGCAAATCTCCCATCTCTGATAATGAGGTGTTCCTGCTCCCTCTGCAGGGACTAAGCAGGCTGCAGTCAAAAAAACAGCCAGCTTTTGCATGCCTAAGAACCAGGCGAAGGCATAAGCCTGACCATAATTGTCCTCTCATTAGTGCAGTGTTGAAAAATTGCTCAGAGGGAGCAAATATTATTTGGGCTCTTTTATAACTGCTTTTCTCACTGTTTTTTTGCAGTGTGATAATGGCAAAAACACAAGGCAGTTTGCTTTGTGCTTGTGATGATTGCTTTTTCTGTTTTTCCAGGCTGTGCTTCAGGGTACAGGATGGTATGGCATCTTAGGGACCAGTAACTCACCCTCTTTCACTGGTGGAACATCAGTGCTATCAGTGCTGCCTGGTAGAAAGGAGACAGTTAAATGTGACAGAACAAAAAAGAAGCAATATATAACCACACCTTTGCTTGCAAAAGTTCCTTATAGCAAACTTTGAAAAAAGCTCTGCTTAGTGTGCAAAGTCCTGGACTTTACCCATGCATTTCAATAGGGTTTCATTCCTTTAATGAAGCTGCACTTCACTTATTTACCTTAAAATACTTCTGTGGCTGTCACCCAAGTGTCTGAAATAGAGAAAACAACTACACCCCTTTCTTCTTCCTTAGATACAGGAGAAATGGCTTGATTAATTTATCATAGGTTTTTGTTTGTTTTATGTTTGTATGGATGACTGGGCGCAATGTGCTGGAGACTGGATGAGAATAAATTATCAAAGGAGAGCTGTAGCAGAGCTGAATAAAGGGAGATCTGTGAATATTCATTTCACCTGAGGGTGCTTTCCATAACCTGAAGCCCTTCTCCTAGCGAGCTCCATTACTGATATGATGTATTGCTGTGTTTGCTAAAAATTTTGAATTTTCAGGCTGTCTAGCTTCATGTCTATATTTTGTCTTCTACCATCACTTTTGGCACCCATCCATATATTTTATTGGTTTATACTCTTCCTCAGTGATCACTACAATTTTTTGTCACTTGGATTCTTTGAGCAACCAAACATGTACATACATTAAGATTTTGCATGAAAAAAAAAGACAATTAAATTCTTATTTTCTACAAAGTAAATATAGTATTCTTAGAATAGAAATAAAAAGGTGTTCTTTTTTGTAAATCCTTAGCTGTGACAGCTGGAAGAGGAAACTTGTTTCTTACTCACACCTGTGAGAAAGGAAGAGGAAGAAAAGATGCCCACCTCCTAAGGAAACTTTTAGCTGGTGAGCAGAGATTTGAAACTGGTCTTTACACGATGCTCCACAATTATTTGGGCACAGGGTGGTGGAATTTTGTCAATCAACTCAGTGAAAACTTCACCCTTGGCTTTGAAGAAAGTCTCTTTACCCAAAGCTAATAAATCCCTTTCCAGTGGCAAACAGTCTGTAACGATGCCTCTAGGCTGAAGAGAAGTGTAAATTGGCCAGAGAGGCCTTTTCTTATTGCACTGGAGTGCAGTGATGCAGAGGAGGGGGGAAAAACCAGGACAAACCACACAGCTTCAAGGGGCCTTTAACTGCACAGAGAAAACGCTGCAAAGGCTTGTTCTTGGCTCCCCTGATGCCTCTTCGGAGTATTGCACACATGCACAGTTACCAGCCAACTGTGCCCAAGCAGTATGAGACAAACAGCCTAACCTGGCACCAGGTAGAGCCTGGAACCAACTCTGTTAAAAAATGTTGAAATGCAATGCCTTTGTCTCTTAGGGTTTTATAACACTTTAATGTCCCAAACTGCATTCACCTAAAAGTCCGTACACACATTTCACTGGTGCAAGATTTTTAATTTTTTCAATATTCTTCTAAAATCTGAGGCAGAGAGAGGAACTGGTAACTGCACAGTGAGCTCTCTTGCCTGCTTGCTAAGATAGCAAAGATGACTGATTAGTATGAAATGAAATTGTGCAACCATATTAAAACCTAGAGATTTTGTAGAGAGACTCATCTTTATATTACCATTTAATTAGCTTGTCATTTCCTTTAGTTCTTTCCTGCACCATCAATGGATTCGTGTTTGCCTTTTCTGATTACTTTGTTTTCAACTGTTCTTGCCCCTGCTCCAATAGAATATGAAGTATAAAGAAACATTATAAAATTCAATAATTTACAAGACTAATTAAAAAGGCAACCAATGAGTTAATTTGGAAGGAGGCAGTAGAAAACAGTAAGAATTTAAAACAGGAAGGAATGATAAATTAAAACCAGACTTTATAGATACATTTAAGTATATAAGAAATGGATACTTGTTTTTAGACAAACCATCAGACTATGGCCAAAAAAAAAAAAAAGCTAATAATTTTACATGAACAACTGGAGGTACCAGATATAGACAGAAGTTTTCAAGGACAAGTGGGTAGGACCTTCTGAAAGGTTAAAATTTCATCTCTAGATATTTAAACATAAATAATTCTGAAAATTGCAGACCATATTTGTACATTATGGTATTATTATTATTTTTGTTTATGGCCTATAAGTGCATTGGGAAAAACTATTTTGGGACACATAAGACTCCGTTTTCCACAGTCAGCCTTTCAGAGCCCAGAGACACACCCCAGAATTCAGGACGCTCATTTAAACAGCTGTTAATCTGTCTCAAAGGACTGGAGATCTGCATTAACCATGCATTCGAACCCCTTTTGGAGAATCTAGGCACTTTATTTCTGATATATTTATTCTTCCCCTTGAGGAGACAAAAGAGATCTATAGATCTTTTGGGGAAATGGCTGGCTTTATAAATTATTGAGGCATAAATGCAATAATTAGCTGGCTTTTGTCAGCACCATATTCCATATATAGCAGAGCTGCTAATCTCTTACTATTTTTCAGGGCTTTTGTCTCCTTAGTAGATTATATATAACTCTATGACTGGTTTTGATCACTTTGTAATGAATATTGTATCACAGTGTGCTAAGTAGACTAGTATCAACATGTTACTAAGTTCTTTAGGATTAAAATGCATGTGAGTAGTTTTAAGAAGTATTTGCATTCACTGGAAAAATCCAGTGTTTTCCAAACAATTAGATTCTGCAGATTAGTACAGGTTTTGGTTGTACACAATATGATTTTGATGTTACTAGGTATACTAAGTCCACATGATGCTGTTTCAGTTCTAAATTGGCTTACAAATACAATTTATCATTGTCTCCACCCTGAAGTGTATATATCCATCGTGTGCTTCAGGGGATGGTATAATTATTTTAATCCTGCTTTACAGATTAAAAAACTCAACAGTGAGAGCTGAACAGGTTTATTAGACCTCACAGTACAGGCCAAGCTAAGCAAGAAATGTAGTTGTAGGATACACTGATGTCCTAACTATTAGAAGCATGCGACCTTCCTAGAAAAGTTGGATAAAGACAGATCTACACTGTACTTTGTTATCCAGACTCAGATTTTGAGAACTTTTAGCTAAACAATTCATCCAATTTATTTCAACATGTTAATAGGTGCAAGTGTCTCATATGTAACTCACTACATCCACCCTCCTGGATTTTCTCCATTGCTCTTTGTGCTTATACAGTGTTAGTTTGGGTTGGCTTATAAAAGCTCCTAGGGCACATACATTTTCTCTTCTGTGGCAGATGGTGACTGGTCAACTGAACATTGGTGCTGAATTGAGCCTGCTAACTTCTCTATCTAGTTTGGATGTTCTTCTAGAGTTGAGCAGGCATCAAATCCCAAATGACAGAGCCATTTGTCACCACAATCCAAACCATTCTTTCAACACAGAAGGCCTGTGCAATGAATCAAAATGCTGCACTCAGACTCTTGAAAGCATTTCACACACAGCGCATCGCTCTGCTTAACACATATCAAACTACAGTAACTGCTAATAAGATAAAAAGCAGTGACAAATCAGAGAATATCGCTTCCAACAATCATGCATGACTTACCATGGCAAACACATCCTCACTGAGTAAGGAGAGTGCTCAGCGTCCGTTTCAGGTCTCCTGCTGCAGCCTTTTATGCTTTTTATTTTTATCCCATTTGTCAAAATAACAGCCTTTTATCAGTGCTGATTGCAGAGATTTTGACTCCTCACCTGCTGAGTTCCCCCTCTGCTCCATAGGGGTTTCCTAATTGAATATTTCCCCTGTGAATAGAAAAGCTTTGAATAAGAACAGGAAAAAAACTATTAACCATTTCAAAACCTCCCATGAATCTTATACCCCAGTCCTGCACACAAGCTCCTTTTCCTTTCTAAAGTGCAGAATATTCTTCTTTCAGCAAGCATACTCAGCTTTTTCTGAAGGCAATCACACTTATTATACGCTGAACATTGTACATGAACTGACGTTAAGAGCCTAACATGAGGAAGAGGAGAAGGAGAGAGAGATATTAATTAAAAGTAACTTATAAGGTGTCTGGTTTGCTTAGAGTCATTGGAGCCTCATTTCTCACATTTTGCGAGTCAAAAGCAAGGAATCATTTACTGTTTGTGCTGAGACCTGGCATTAACAATTTCTGCCCATGTCATGGTGGATGGTGTAGGATTGAAGTATGAATAGTGAACTCTCGTGTCTGCCACTATTATTCCTACAAAAGAGCCAGCAGCCTACGTGCTATCATTCACTTGAGGACGGACTAAAACCCTGTATTTCAGCTTCTGACGTGTGTGGAAGGTGGTGCTCTGGATTGAGCCAGAAGGAGGACTTTATCTGCCAGCTTCTTACCCTGACCATGGTGGCTACTGCAGATGCTCATGTTTCATCATGTCTCATCAGAAGCTGCTACTCAGGTGCTTTTGCTGCATCCCTCAGCAGAGGAGGCACAAAAGAACCACAGAGTGGAACCTGTCTGTGAAAAAAACAAACAAACAAACAAACAAGCAAAGAGTCAATGAGGCTGTTGTGCACACTTGGCTTCTTCAAAGCAAAGCAGACTTTCTTAGAAAAGGGAGGCTCTGTTGCATTGTTGCCTGGGATTTCTCAACTGTTTCCCAAGTTTTAGAAAGATCCCTACTTCTCTGCACACAAACAAACAAATACATTAAATAAATTAATGGATCAGCAAATAAATAAATAAATAGTTAAATGGATGGTGAGAATGTCTGCAAAGGAGGGAATCAGAAAGCACAGATAAGCATGGGAAGGACTTAAAAAAGCCGAAGGGAAGTTCTCTCTACATCCCTGCTTCTTCATCCTCTAAACCCTCACGGATTTATTTTTTTGTCATTTTAAAAGGGGGCTTTGCTGCACAGATGCTTTTGGAAATAGTCTTACAAAGAAATTCCTTGTAATCTTTTGATTGCATAAGCTCACAATAATGAGAAAAGCTGAGGTTTTCCCACTCTCCAATTTAGGCCAGTTATATCATATCAAGGGAGGGCAATCTGCATATTCTGATCCTGCTTTCCCAGCTTCAGGTTTATACATCTTTTAGTGTCTTTTCCCATATCATTTCCCCACTTTATGAAGCAGGTTGATGAATTCATTTATCTATTATCTAGCTGCATGTGCTGCCAGAAGATTGCAGCTGGAAGGTATCTCTCCTTGCGAGAGTGAGCAAAAGGGCATTCCTCAGTACCTGTCTTCAAATATCATCTGTTCTCCTACCAAATGATGTACTGTTGAATTTCAGCTTTGAAGCAAAACTATCTTGAGAGGAATGCCTGTTAGGGATATTTAACTAGACTCTGGTACTCCCTGTAGATTGTTAACAAGAGGTTAATTGCATTCTAATTCTTTGAATAAGCCAAGTGAAAAAGATTTCAACAAGTTTCCCTGTGTATGTACATCGGTCTGAAAAGCCAGCACTGGTGCAAGAGAAAGGGAATATCCAGAGACCCGAGTCTGCTGCAGATCAGGTGCAGACTTTTACAGACAGGTAGACAACACAGGATTCTGGTTGCAGATTCAGCCATTGCTGAGAAGGAGGGTGGGCTGGGTGAGATGACCAACGCTGGGGAGTCCTGTGGCAGCAGGCTGAAATTGCTCTGGACAGTCCAGTTTGGGGCAACTCCTGAGCAGCTGAGTCTGCTGCCTCTCTGGTCAACATGAGGGTAGGAGACAGATTTTGATTGCTGCTGGGTAGCACTGGAGAGAGGATGCTCTCTTATTTCCTGGCTCTGCTCCTTCCCCTTAACAGAGCAAAGCAGCAGTGGCTCTGGCTTTATAGGGAGCATGAGCAAAGAGGAGAACAAGGTCCTGTACATTTAGCTGCTCCTGAGAGCTTGCTGTCAGTTCCGATTATGGCTGGAAACAGCCCTGGTTGCAGGCAAGAAAAAGTAAATCAGTCTTTTGTAAATGAAGCAGTTTGATACAGCTAGGTCAGAGACTAAACACAGAATCAGAGCTTTGAATTCCCACACGTGCTCTTTAGAGTAGTGTACCTCTTTTTGTGAGGCCCAAACAGGTATGTGGAAGAGCATAACAAATATGCTTTGCATTGTGTAATCAAGTATGTTGAATAGCAGTGGAAAGGTTAAAGGCCATCACAAAAGGATATATAGTGCTACTTTGCTGCAGCTCTTCTGGCTGCTCACAAGTTATCCAGTAAGTGCAGCACAAGGGAGAAAGCTATTAATAATCCTGCTCATCATGGTTGCACAGTGAAACATCATAATCCTAGCACAAAGGAATATGTGAGCCATGAAGTGTAAAGCAAAAACTTTAGGCACTGAAGACAGCCTCAAAACTATGTAATAATTAACAAATGAGAGAAATAATATGTTTAATGGAGGCTACTCATGAAGCTACAGAAGAAGACCTCTGCAATAAATAAAATCTAAATGAAGCCTTGCGCCTGAGCCAGAGAGCAGAGTGTTCCAGCTCACCGTCATAAACTCTATAAATATTTTTGTGAACAGATCAGATAAAGTGTTTGGCATGCAGGTGCCTAATAAATGCTACCAGTGCTGGAACATGCTAATCTCAATTTTGTACACATCCATGTGTTAGAGTTCATGTGTGCTTCTACAGCTATGGACTACTTCTACAAGTCATGGTTTTAGATTGCGACCCTGAATTTCTATCAAAAACATTGAGAGAAAATGCATATACATTCAGTTTGTCAGTGTACTCTGATAGCACTTTCCAAAGAAGTCTGTGATAAGGTAGTATGGTTTGGTTATATGTACATGCCACTTACATAAATACACATCTAATTTTAGTGCATAAAGCGTATTCATATTTTCCTGAAATTACCAATGCTATGATCTTGACTGACAAGCAACAAGAAGAAAATCCTATCAGCACATTCCCACAGAAAAGAAACAGTACATTTTGGAATAACAGTAGCTACTGAAGGCCTTGAAGATAATGTATGTAAAACTTAATAACTGAGTAAATATCATAATATTTGTATGCAAGTATTATGCAGTATATTTAAGGAAAATCTCCTCTGTTAAATGTGCATACCTTGATTAAATCCTGTAAAAAATGTTAAGTGTATTTCCAGGCATATTTCCATCACCAATTTACAACATTTGGATCACTTGTATTCAGAAGGTATGCAAATGGCTTTAGCTGGGTCATATTTTAGCTGGTATTTCTACCAAATATAATACCATGGGAAATTTCTCTTGTCAGAACACATTTATTTTATTATTTAGATGATTATGGCTGTATTTTTTCTTCAGCTAGTCTTCCCTGTTGATATGCTGAATTCTCAGATTTTTGACAAATGCTTACATTGCAATTACTTTAGATATAATATAGTGTCTTTTATTCCCAGTTTTCATGGATCTTTAAAATTATTAAGTTTCTATCAAAACTGCCAAAGGGAACAAACCGGTTATGGCCCTTCTCCATAGGTGGAACTAGCACTGATGTTGGGACAAAGTATTGTCATAAATGTTAAAAACATGTACAATAAAATATGCAAATGTTCACACCCAGAGTTCAGAAAAGACAGAGATGTGACTACTTATTTCAATATTTCCATTGCATTAAGAATAGCAATCCCAATTTACAGAAAATATTACCGTTATAGAATTTGCTTTAGTTCAAGGTGTAAACAAACAAAAAAAGAGCAATTATTACTTAAAAAATGGGGAATTGGATGTGAGCTTTCACCCTCTCAGATGCTTTATTACTCAAGCCCTAGTACCGTTTCTATTACTACTTTAACATGAACAGTCACTGGGAAAATAAAATAAGAAGGTATTTGAAATCATGTCCCCCACAGCCTAGCTGACTGGCTTTTCAGCTGCTGCGCTAATGACTCATTTCTAACGGCTCGCATTTGTTTCACGTTCTCTCAGCTTTCTATTAAGGCTTTATCAGAATTGTTCCTTTTATTTTTTTATTTATTTTTATAATTCACTCTCTCTCCAAATGCATAAACATTAGAGTTTGAAAAATAGCCTGACTAAGAAGGAAATATATCTGTAGTGTAAAATGCAAACAGTCTTGGGTAAAGCTTATCAGAGGAGAAAGCACAGGTTTATGAAAGAATAAAAATTAAGATATACCAGAAGTGGGGTCTTTCTCAGTCACCATGCTTCTACAGAAATATGTTACTTCTAGAGGAGCAATGAACAGGAAAAAGCAACATAACAGAAGTAATTAATACCAAATTCACCTAAATCTTGTGTCAGTAACTTCATTAATAATATGACTAATGTACTGTAACTTTTGTCCTGTTTGTAAAAATGACCAGCAAATAATTAATCAATCCTTCCAATAGGATTAAGAAGAGAATAATAGGCAGGATTAGCCAAAATCTAGGCAGCCTAACTTGAAGTGGGGTCCTATCGGTACAGCTATAGTAGATGTCAGTATGGCAAATGCCCTACTTGTGCACCAACCAACCTCTTCTCTAAGACAGCCCTTGACCTTAAAGCCGGATTGGGGTGGACTTGGTCTATGTGGCAAATGTAGTATAGGCATATAATTAAACGTTGTCATTTTATGGCTATTTTATCAATTTGCTACAGGTAGCATGAAAATACTGGAAAAAGCAAAGTCTGCAATGATATTAGAGCCAAATAAAAGTTTCAGAAATGAATCCTGAGTGTCTGAATTTCTATTTCCATCTAACCATGATTGCAAAGTATAAATGCTATACCAGTGGTACTACAAGAAGGCTACATTTCTAGGCAACCCAGTCTCTGGCCCCTGCTAGTCATATAACATTTCAACAGGCAAAAAGAAAACTTTCGAATGTGCCTTGTTTTTTTTCCATGTTAATAATACTGCAGGCCTTTAGCTTCTTAAAAACCTAGTGCCATGTGATTGAGAAGGAGCTCAGTGGAGGACAAATGAGGATGAGACTGTATAGGGCAGCAGCTTTGCAGGTGCAGAATGATGCTTGTGTCTGTCAGCACCTCGCTTTGTCTGGCTGCCACCTTCCCTGAGTGCCATGGCACTGCCTCATGGGCATGGACTGCACAGGATAAACAGCAGGACAAGTGTTGGCATTGTTTGGAAGGGAGCAGGGCACCTGGCAAATCCACCCCATTTTCTTTCAATGGCATAGCATGTTTTCCAGAAGAAAGCATTCTTCAGAGGAGCACAAAAGCAGCAAATATTCACCTATTAGCAAAAAGAAAAAACAAACAGACAGGTTTTCATTAATTCTTTCAGTAGTATTAATGTAGTAATGTATTAATCCCTGTAGCTTAGGTTGATATCAGTCCTTCCTAGATAATATATACTATCTTTTCTTATATATAAAAAAAGCATTGAAATGAAATAAAGTGATGTGCTATTGAGCTTGAGCCAATCCCTTGAAGCAGGGCTTTTTGCTATGCAATGCTAGTCAACAAGGGAAGAACAACCACAGAGCTGTTTTAATTACCTGAACTATTCACCTAAAACGACAGATAAACTGACTCTCCAAAAAGAAAGAA